CGTGCACATTTGAAAGTACTGCAAGTACAGAAGTGTTCATTTATCGATGAAAAGTGATGAATAATTTATCGCCAGTGACAAAGCTTAGTATCTACCGTGAGACAAACTCTTAAAGACATGGATGATCTCTAAGCATACAAAAAAAGAATCTCTCAAAACTACATTTAATTTTCATCACCCGTTTCAATCACATGGCGACGAAGCTCCGCAGGAATCGCTGCCAGCTCTTGAGAAGCTGAGGGCTGTGAACCAAGAACAATGTTGCAGATATTAAATACGGCACCAGAGAAGACAAGTGCAGCCAACCTGTCAAACATGTTTTTTTACAGTACAAAATAACTAGCTGTCCAGTAACTGTATAATATCGCAGGATATTTGTACTCTATTCGCGTGTTATTTGTACTCTACTTTGTGCGGTTGGATAATAAACCCAGATACTAACCAGTTTATTTCATACGACAATTGAAATAGTGGTTTCCCACGCGTCGGAATTGATGGTGTACGACACTGTTTATGAAAAAGATATTGTAAGGGCTCATTCGAGCATTTGACAGGTTTCAAGAGAACAAAAAAAGAGGATTTATCTCTGGTAACTTTATTGACTGGATAAACACGCGATGTCTGGTGAAAAAAAGACGAGTAAGGCAACTGCAAAACTTTTACAAGCTTTTTTTGCCATACAAAAAGTATTAGGTCGTAAGTTGTCATTTATATAGTTTGATAAAAATGGATTGACTGTTGTCAAATATTTTGAAAGTCATTCAGCTGTAGCAATGCCCTGGACACATGAAATAGACAGCACTTGTGGCACTTGTATGTAGACCGCCACTGCTGTGGCGTGACGCCATGTTTCTTGTTTTTTTTTCTCATTCTAGTTTTGTATGTAATAAAGTCCATAAGCATAGCTAGTTATACTATTTTCGTGAATATATATTTTATCATCAAAACAGCTGAGTGACACTTTATTGATTTCTTAACTTACAAGCTGATGATTCTGACTTCTAAATGGTTTTCATCATATGATGTATTTCTTTGCTATGAAATAGTATATTTTTATGGTCTTTATGTTTGATGTTCCCTCTTGTAATATTTTTCCTTATTCCTTTAGCTGTTCTATCCCTTTTTTCATTATCTTTTGTACAAGAGTGTACTTTTTATCTTAGACCCAAGAATTCATTTATTTGTACGTCAAAAGTCTCGTCTTTGAAATTTCCAATCACTTTCTTATTTTGTTAATTTTTTCATTTATTTTAAATTTTTATTTATTTATTATCATATTTCAAATACAAATTACAGACATAATTAAAATTACTACACAAAAACAAGGAGGTTTGGCCAACAACAGCCTCGCAATTCCACTTGTCAGCATTTTCATTATAATTGTTTTAAAACGATGTTAATTATATTAACAATAACGAAACATTAAAATTACTGTACAAAGTCACTATCACAATGAAGTTAAATACAGTTATTATTGGGAAAACTAATACAATAATTGTAATTATTACTGATGCAAAGTGAAAGAGAGAAACACCCAAGATAAGAGTGGAAAGTTTTTATTCCATTTCTTATAGAAAGTTCCCAAGTCTTTATTTCTTGAGGCAATGTATTTTTTCTGTTTAATGATTAATTTTGACTTTTAGTTTGAAACTGTCTATATTTGGATGTGCATGCGTCCTTCTGCAATCCAAGATATGCATTTTTCCGATTAGAATGAAATAATTTAGTAAAGGGCGTGACAGCGATGTAATACCTGTTATGATATCTTGAAGGCTGAGAGCCATAACTTGTTTTGTTATTGCGAAATAATAATTTTCGAAATGTTTCCGAAATATATTCGAGTAAGGGCAAAAGAAAAAGAGGTGGTGTAACGGTTCTGATTCTTTGTCTTTATCACTTTCTTATTGGTTTTGTCGAAATATGTTGAGTTTTCCGGGTAATCACTATTATATACACATCTCCGGTTTCGATTTCATATGTAAGACTGTCTGTGTCTGTAAAAATGCAATCTTGCTTTCCTTCTATACTTCTTTCTAATATAATTTTAAAGGAAATCATACATTTATGTCTAGAAAGATCAAGAATACATATATCTACATATGTCGACGTTTAAGAGTGATTAATTCTTTGATCTTATGAACAGCTATAGATTCTCATGAAAAATTTGTGATGACACTTAAGTTGGCTTCGAGCTATATTTTTATAATTTTTGTTATCAGTTACAAGTTTAACGTTTTCCCATTTGCGAATATTCTTTACAGTTTTTACCAAATACGCTGTTATCTATAATCTTGTAGAAGTCTTTTACAAATGAATTTTTAGCGCTTGTTCTCTTGTTTGTAGCAAAATCTATGTACTGTTTCAGCCACGCCGACTGATTGCATCGTAATGCTCGATGAATCTCTTTAATCTGACCCCAAATCAAGATATCACTCTAGTTTTCTTCAAATAAGTACATACTTTTCTTTGTCATTTAATGATGGAACCACCTTTTTGACTTGAGCCGTTGATATATTGTATTTGTGTCTTATTTCTTCACAATAATTTGAAAGCATGTCCTTTGTCACATCGATTTTTCCTGCTGCAAGTGGATAGTCATCGTCAATCTCATGTAACTCATCAGGATATTCAAGATCAACTTCCAATATTAAACCTTTTTCACTGCCTTCTGTCTGTTTTGCTAAGTTGATCTTTCTAATTTCTATTTCCTGTGCACCATTTAAATTTATCATTCGGTAAACATTGACTCATAGCCCAACCATACAGATTATCAGCATCGAGATACACGATATACTTTAACCCTTCAACTCCCAGAAGTGATTAACATGGAACTTCTCCCCATAATATCCATACATTATCCCGCAAACAGGTATGGAGAAGACTCCAATTTATTTGTTAGAAGTTGTTATCTAAATCTAACACCTATTTCTCACATCTGGTTCACATGGAAATGTGTAGCAGTCAGAGGGAAGAATTGACAATCAGATCTTGGGAGTTAAAGGGTTAAGGACGCCTTCTCATCATATTTCTTCATGCATTTTTCATTTGCTTTTCCGTATCTGTTGGCTATGTATGAAATAACACCTGTCATTCCTTTTTCAACAAATTGAAACATATCCATATCTATCATTAGCTCCAGTTGGATGCTAGTGATTTTCAATATAGCATCCCCGAGACAGTCCAGGACTTGTAAAATAGTGGCAAGGATCTAGTTTATAGTATTCACCGACACTGAAATAAAAAATTCATAGTGGATCCATTGACACCCTCAGTTCAAGCAGGTCGCATTTTGCTATGGTCTATTATGAATCGGTTGTCAAACAACGTGGAAGTCATAAAATTCATTTTAGAGACGGTTATAAAGGAGGCGCTGCAGATGTCATACTGAAAAAAACATCACTGGGTCAAAACTGACACAACATAACGACTCTTGAGAATACAAGAGCTTATTTGGGTCAAATTCGTTCTAATTATTAGGGTTAACAATTCAATAACTCTTGAAATTTCCACAGGTGAACTAGATGGAATAAATAACGGTATTTCTTTTTATTCCAAAAATTGGCTAAAAATTGTAATTTTTTAACTCAGTTCTATATAGCATACATATATGAAAAAAAAATTGAAATGTTTTTTGATTTCAATCATATGGATAAAAACATTGATGAAAGTCAATTAGACGAGATTAAAACATTAAAACGATTTTATGATAACACATTTTTTAGCTACATAGGAGAGCGTGCAAATATTTCAAAAAATTGAATTTAGCGTGTAATTTATTTTCAGCATGTCATGTTGAATACAATAGAAAGTGACGTGACACTCAACTCAACTGTATTAGGGACCATACCTGGAGCTGGTGTTTTACCATATCAAACTCTTTCCCCCGTGCGACGAACATTCGTTTTTCTCGGTTCCAGGTGTACGCAACCACTTACCCCACGTAATGCGTATGCTCTCCGTTACGAATTTTCAAAATGGCGGACAGGTCAAAGAGGGAAATTAAAAAAACAAAGCGATTTTGCAATGAATCCTCAACATACACCCTCGTTAGAAAGGCGAATCCACGGAAGAAAGATACAAAACTGTATGATATTGAGATCGATATGATATTAAATCGATACCGAGGGCCCGTTTAATTGCCTTCCGCCACGATTATTAGCTTTCTTGACAGCTTTCTGAAGACAGAATACTTTCTTTCTGAAGACTTTCTGATATGCGGCTATTGATTATTACACCTCGTATACCTGATTGCTCAAACACTTTGTTTACGATTGTTGAAAGGACCGACTCATGGTTCTCCGTCTTCGTCTTGACATTGCTTTGAAATAGTATAGACTAGAAAGCTGAAACGAAAAATTAATCAGGGAAGTTTACGAAAAATCCAGCAAACAAACTTTAAAAAAGGCATTTAGTTAGACTTCGTACTTCAACGAACTTCACAAATCTTACTTGTTTATATTGTAAGTAAACGATGGCAGATTAATTCCCGGAGCGCTTTCTGAGTTTCCCGATCCCTCTCCTACTGCTTTCACGCTTACAAAACAGGAAAAATCAAAAGGAGGAAGATACAGCTGTTTTCAAACGCCATTTGAAGAAGGTAAATCTGCTTTTTGTTCGACACTTTACATATCAAAACAAAGGAAATTTGTTCCTCTTTTTGATTCTGGCGGTACATTTTTAATTTGTGCCTGCGTAAAAGAGAGATCACCCGAGACCCTTCGCTCGGTCGTGTTTTGATCAAAAACGCCTTGTTAATTTCACGCAACCGCTCGGAGAAAAGGTAAAAATGAAGAGGGAAAAACTTAATCTTCAAGTTAGAAAATTAGCGAAAAAGAAAGCCACAATATTATAGTTTAATATTTCAGAGGTACATTTTTCAGAGAATCCGCACGATGGTAAAACATTCGAAAATTCCACTCGATTTGAGTGGGGTGTTGAAGTGGGCGTGGTCACTACATTCATGTTAAGACTATTTGTACCCCATGAGTTTGATATGTTTAGACTAACGATGCAATAAAAAATTATAAGAAAAAAATCGCGCTATGTGGTTTAGCTTACACATCATATGACAAAATACTGGTTGATTTGCGGTCGTTAATGAGAGTTAAGCTGTGAGATGAACTGGATTTTTTGACACATCTAAGGGTAGTTGATGATATTGTCAATGACATGTATCCTCCGGTAGACAAATGGGATAAACAATACTCATAAAAATTTAACTCAAAATAATTGTTTTGATATCATCCGCAATTAGTTTTTGAATTCCACTCCAATTTTTCTTGTAGAATTGTAATGTTCTTTTTGATTTGGATATTAGTATGCTTTTAGATTGTAATTTAATCAATTTGAATATTCGTTTTAGTTTACAGTTAATATTTATCACCCGTTAGCGCTCACTACTAATTTGAGGTCATACACTCTCAATATTTTCAAAAATCTCTCATATCTTGTTTTTAGAGTGGTCTGGTGCCGCCAACTACTATACTACAGAAGATAACATGACTCCATGCATGTTTGAAGCGTTTTGGCAAACTCTTTAGTGAAGTGTCGGCTCAAGGTTTATAATTACTAGTTATGAAGAATTTTAATAACCTAGCAGCGACGAACGGAAACGAAACTCAGAGTTAGGAATCCGTCACTGACTTCTATTACCTGGGATCTGCGGCAACTGGTCTTGGGACTTGCTTTTTCAATTAATCACGAAACTCTCAGACAATTCCAAAGGGGCAAAGGGTGTAGAGTTGAGCCGGGCCAGTCCAGTAGTCCAAAAGTTTCTGTTTCTTCACTACTGCGACGATACGTTTTCGGCCGGGACGGTAAAGTTTCCCTGTAATTTGTCGTGTGATCAACTGCCATCGATCATGGACAAAACCTTTCAACTTTCTATTGAGACTTCTGCATAGTCCTTATCCAGAGATACATTAAAATACCCGTTCTGAATAACGTTCGTGAGTGGTACAGCAGAGAAATAACAAGAACACTCTGGGGACAGATGAATATCGATATTCATCTAAAAGGTTAAGGCTGATGTTGTTCAGTTTGAGAGGATTTAGCGATAGGTGTCATAGTCTTTTCATATCCCAAAGGCCTCTTGTAGTGTGTTTTCGCCGGCTTTCGTCTAGGACTTCAATTGCATTGTTTTTTACATTGCTTCTTGCACCTCACAACATTTCGCAAAACGTTGAGAAATAAGAAACTGGGTAGAATCTTCAAGAGAGCCTGGTCCAAAATCATTGAGGGTAGATTTTTCTTTTTCTCTAGCTTTTTTTGCCCACTTCAGTTTCCTTTCGTTTGTTTTTCGTAATGAATTTATGGATTTCGTTTTATCATATGTAAATGATGCATGTGTAGTCCTCCCCGTCAAAAGTTTAAGAGGAAGAAAATATACGCTTGTTTTTAAATTTTTATTGCATAACTATGCTAGCAGGTGCAAAAATGTTGTCCGATTTGAAGCATTATACGCAATACAATTGCACAAGGGTGCGATGTTTCCCCTTTTTTCAAGAAAACCCTATATTTGCGGAACGAGGATAAATTTATATCTTTCTTAATACGATGGGTCTAAAAGAAGCGTTAAACAAATTTGTTTACTTTCTATGAATGCCGCTTAACAAACAAAAGCGTTATTATTGACTATACCAGATATTCCGGGCCTACTACTCTTAACATTAACTACTGTTAGCTTTAATTAAAAATACTTTACGTCTATGATGGTACTCCACCATGAAACTGTGAAGCACAGCTTTTAGCACCATTTAGTTATTTTCTATTTGAAGGCTTCATTTTCATCTCGGTACGTTTCAGTGAGTATGAATTTCCTCTGAAAGAATTCCAAGAGACACCATCTGCATACGAATCATTGAATGATCCTCCATGATATAAGCCGTTGAGGTTAGAATGGTGACAATTCCTGTACCACCAGGCTCCTTTGTACAACAGTGCACAGTTGTCAACGCTCAAGTCGTTGTCCACATCTTTCGTCGTAAACAACATCTTGCTATAATGAATCGTTCAAAGAATTAGGCAATCAGTCAGTCATTTAGTCAATTAAACAATAAGTTTATCACTCAGTCAAATAATCAATCAATCAAAC